TACGCGTCAAACAAATACGGCGATAAAGAATTGGCGCTCTCTTACGTGTTTTCTTTGATAACAAATTCACGCGCGCTTTATTGCGCGACGAAAATACGAAGGAGAGAGATCTCGTTTGATCTTTGGCAGCCCGCGCGAACCTAGACTGCAAAAGAAGCTCCTACTCTCGACTACACGTGTACAAGAGATAACGTCCGATAAGAGTTTCTTCCGTTTACGTAGGCACGATATTGAAGAGAGGGAGATGCTTGGCGAAAACCACCGAGTTTCGTTTTTAACGTTTAGCCTTCGCGCTAAAGACGCGTACAAATAACATATCTGCCTGTTAAAGTTTGTAAATTATGAAAATCGCCGACGCAGGATTGTTGTAGCTTCAAATGTAAAAACGACACGCGTGTCACTTGAGCCAATTCGCGACGCGATAACCGCTTATATCGATGCTCGTTATCTTCGTTATCACCCGCTTTCAGATTCCCGGAATCGATTGTTTCCCCCCTGGATTGTTTCTTTCTGCCAGAAACGCGTGTTCTCGAGCACGCACACATAATTTTTTTATTTCTTTTATAATTTTTTTAAATTTATTTATTTCATTTATATAAAATTTTATATTAGTTAATTAAAATTCTTATATTAATTTTTTGATATTAAATTTATCATATATTATTAAATGAATTTTTTATATTAAATTGTATAATAAATTAATTTTTATTTTAATTAATTTTACATGTAAACAAATTTCAGTGTTTATTCAAAAAGAGAGCGAATGCTTCGTTTTTTTCACCGATTCCAAGGGAGGCAAATGCACCCTCTGCGGCGCGCCCATGCGCACATATACACATGCGTTAACAGAAGATATAGAAACATAGCCGCTACGCGTTCCTCGTAACTCAACTCGTCTCGTCTTGTCTCGACTTGCCATGTTGTTTTCGTCGAGGGGGCAGACCTCGTGGATCTCGACTCTTGGGCTACGTCATAAGCGTCTATTTATACTCCGACGCAGCGTATAAACTTATATAGGGTGTTTCCTCGCGACTCGTATTCACCGGCTTGCCTTTGTCGCTCGTTAATCGACCGACGTAGATGCGTTACAGCCAGGAGACACGTCGTACATGTTAATGAAGGATGCAAAGTGCTTGTTGAAACGCGTGTAAAACTCACGTGGGTGAAGCGGGAAGTCAAGAGGCGTCGCACCTTTCGATCTCTTTTCACTTTTCGTCATACACATATGGAGAGAGAGAGAGAGAGAGAGAGAGAGAAAGAAATAAATGAAAATAGAGTAGAGTGGGAAGAAGAATTAAGTTTGTTAAATCAACGATATATGTATTTATAAGTGGATAAATGAATACACGAGGGAGCTTGAGATCCCGAACACAAGGGTGAGACGTAGACCTGTTCCACTCTGTATACGCATTCTTCGTGAATGAAGTTGACACAGCATCCGGATCTTCCCTGTATACCCTCTCGCGAAGGGTATATCTGCCTACCTACACACTGACGTCGATGCCAACCCAGACGGTATTTCCGTTCGCGGTGAGTAGGAATATCTGACGTGTTTGAACGGAATTACATCGAGCGTTCTCGCGACGTTCACCCCGTATGAGGAAAATTCTCGCTATTCGAAAAGGAATACGAACGTGTCTTATCTACACCTAAGGATAATTCTACTTGTAGCTTATTCCAGTGAGTAATATAGACGATCAAAAACCATACTGAAGTTGGTTTTCAATTGCATCGATTGAAAAAAATTTACGATTCAAACCCAACTTCAGTATGGTTTGTGATCGTCTATACTACTCGCTGGAACAAGTCACAAATAGGAGTAGTATAGACGATTTAAATCATACTGAAGTTTTTTCGATTGGTACGATTGAAAACCAACTTCAGTATGGTTTTTAACTATCTACCGTCTATACCTATCTACACCTAAGGATAATCCTACTTGTGACTTATTCCAGTGAGTAGCATAGACTATTAGGTAAAAACCATACTAAAGTTGGTTTTCAATCATAAATTTTTTCGAATTTTTTGGTACGATTGAAAACCAACTTCAGTATGGTTTTTGATCGTTTACACTATCTACCTATCTACACCTAAGGATAATCCTACTTGTGACTTATTCCAGTGAGTAGCATAGACGATCAAAAACCATACTGAAGTTGGTTACCAATCGAAAAACTTGACGATTGAAAACCAACTTCAATATGGTTTTTGATCGTCTATACTACTGACTGAAACAAGTCACAAATATAGGATTATCCTTAGATGTAGATAAGGGCATCGCACTTCGCGTCGGCTCGAAACGATCGAGGAAATCGGCGAAGACGAAAGGCGCCGTAAATAATAACGAACGCGCGTGTACAAAGTTATCCGTATATAGATCGTCGTTTCCCTTCCCGAGGGTTCGGGCAACAATTTCCGTGCGGAGCGAGAAATAAGGTACGATTACAGATGAGCGTATTTAATGCGAGAAACCGTATATATTCGGCTTCTCGACGTTCGTGCAGCGACATCGGAGTCTCTGTCATCACTCCCAGGTCTGCAATCTGCGTGAATTACGCGCCACGCAGATTACAGAGAGCGAAGAGAGACGACAGGGGAGTTTATACGGCCGCGAGGTATACACGGTGGACCTAGAAGAACTCGTTCGTTCTTGACGCACAAAGCAACTGCGCGATAATTTGCAGTCATTAAGATATAAAGACGCGATAATTTTATTCCGCTTTCCGATTATTTCTTGTCTTAATATATTGGCTAGACGTCATCAAGTAAGGTGAAAATTTATTCTACCTTACTTGACGTTCTTCCTTGGCCGGAAACGGCGCGAAATCTCCATCTCCTCCGCGCGAACTTCACGAATCTGACATTCACCGACATCGCGTTTGCGTTATAACGCAAACCATGCCGTTAGTGGATTAAGCCGTTCGCCAAATTGCATTTTTATATATATCGCCGTTTCTCCGCGGAATGGTCTTTTGTTCCACTTACGCCATTAACCGTAAGGAACGGTCACAAGTCATAATTAAACAAAACTAACGGTGTATTTTGCGAAGGAGAGGAAAGGGAGCTGGCGCATATTACGCATAGCTCCAACGTACATATACATATACTATATATACTGTTAATTACGGGAACCGAGGGAAAAATTATGGTCGCGAGAAGACGGTCGTTCGATATCCAAGTCATTCTGGCCTTTTTTCACATCTATGTGTATTGAGGAAAAATCAATCGGAAGAGGAAAAGAAGCAAAAATCGCGATTTCGTTCAATCGATTGGAAATTCATTAATCGCGCGGGGCGAAGCCGATTTTTTTCGGAACGTCGAGCGATTCGCCGATAAACGCAAATTTAATCGGGGCCGACTATTTATAATCGGGTATACATATAGCATCCATCGCGGGATGCTATATACTTGAGTTATAGTCGTGTCCGCGATCGATCGACATATATTATAAGTAATATGTAGGTATATACGTAATGTTACAATAGCATTTGGAATTTAATCTCTTTTATGTTATTCCGACACGAGATATTATATATTTTCGATCATTGTTATCGTTCACCTAAATTGCCAATTTGCTTTATTCGCGACGTCGCAATATTTCGCTAAAGCACTACGGATAATCCGATGAATTATTTTTTTTCCTACACCTCACAAAACTGATCGTAACGTTTACGCAACGCAAATTGAAAACATCGCAAATGAGTTTGCGAACGACAATAATGATAATAACAAAGATAGCAGGACGGGTATTTAATTATTGCCCGTTAATTATGTAATTTCTAGTCAATCGAAACCGTTAATTATCTCTTTTGTTTTTTCCTCCGCTTGCTATTTTTCTCCCTTTTCTCTCATTTTCTCCTTTTGCAACTAAATTACATAAGTGTATTATGTGCGCTGCTTTTAATTAAAATTACCAGGACATGGTAACAGTTATGCGAACGCAACTATATACGGAAAACACGCTAAATAAATTTAAATAATGCTTAAAATTAATGGAGAAATTGGTAAATGCAAAGAATAACGAGATTGATTTGAATTTTGTTTTAAGGAATTTCGTTTCTCATTTATTTATAACGACGATCTCAGCCTCGAAAATGATGCGTTGCTACGCGTTCGTCGTATCCGGGGAAAGCGCAAACCGTGAAATTATGCGGCGGATCGGTTTTTCAGACGATCAAAACGAGTACGGATTACAATTTCAAAATTGTCGTTAAAATGCATGAGTTCTCGCGACGACGACGAAGAAAGGTAAAGATCCTGACGTAATCGCGAATCTACGAAATGTAAAGAATATCGTTTGCAAAAAACGTGACAAAAACGATTTCGTTTCGCGCACAACACGTTTACATTTTACATCCGATACAAGAAACGCGCATGTTTACATTCGCCTGGAAAATTAACAACTCCGAGATGTACATATTTCTGTCTCATTCCATTTTGATTACGAAGCAGCATCGATAATCATACGCCTGCTCGTGCGATTTAATGAAATTGACGATTAAAAAAAAAATCAGATTTTTTTTTTTTTTAATCGGGCGTTTATTCGAAACGCAAACACGGGATTATCAAAGTCGAAAGATCGAAGATTTACGAACGGGTCAAAATTTAAATAGCGGCCGTCCTTCGCTCCTTTTAGCGCCTCGTAGCCATAAGCGGTGCGAATTCTTGCCGATCGATTTCTTTTTCTATACGTCGACTGCGTAGTTGCGTATACGTCAACTTGCTCGATTATCAAGTTTTTTCTTTCCTCGACTAAAAATATTATTAACGCTCGTCAACATAATCATCGGCGAGATTGAATACACATAAAGCTGTCAACATCACGAATCTGTATTCATTCGCGAGTATCCATTTCTGATAACGCGCGAACACTTTTGGATTTGCGTCGTAATTTCGCGCGAGATATTGTTCCGACTCACGTACCCACGTGCCTTTATTTTATAAGTAAGTGAAACTAATTTGCCGAGCTGTCGACTAAAAGGCGAAAATATTGTTTACAGGACAGCCTGGCGGAGCATCGTCCTTGGTTATGACGCATCATCGCCACGAGTGAGTTTTCTGCATTAATTTTTACATAATTTGTTTTGTATTTCTTTTTACTATTTCTATATTTTTAAATATTTTTAAAAATACATTAGTTATTATGTATCTTTAAAATGCAAATCTTGGAAAATTTTGTTTACTCTCAAAAATAATGCTTAAAATATCTATCAATTATGAAACTTATTTTTTGCGTACGAAGAAAAATACGCAAATTACTGTCAAGCTTGCTCGTTGAACAACCGAGAGAGGCCTTTATAATTATTTAAAGATTAACGCTTTCCATTAAAATGTAATTTAGCTAACGGTGCTTTCGCACGTGAGATGGAGATTATACATTTTTACATGAAACGTTCGACATTGCGCACAAAGAGCGCAAATAACGACACGGGAAAAGATTTTATTGATGTTATACGTAATAATTGCTACTCTACAAAAGTGTCGTTACGTAATTATGTCCCCTTGAAATTAAACGGAAAATGAGAGCTATTTAACAGTGTTCGAGAATCTCTCTCTCTCTCTCTCAATATCCATTACGTTACGAATCGCACTTTGCCAATATATATATATATATATATATATATTGTTCCACACAACAATAGAGACGGGATATATAAATATAATATCGCGGAATTACATTATCGCCACGTGTGTGCGTTTGCCACGTGCGACGGTTGCACGAGGCGCACGAGATCACGTTGTCGCAACATTATGAGACATCGGTGGGGAAAATGCGAGATTCTGGAATAAGAGGAGAGTTCTCTCGCTGTAAAGAAAGAAAAAAAAAACGCGTGCGACATATCGAGAAACCGAGGCATCGCTTCTTCGCAAATAGAGTCGACGCATATTTTCGTCGGGCTGTTGTAAAAAAAAGCCGCTTCGTTCTCGCAATGCAAACATAATCTTATAAACTTAACTCGCCGCCGAGTGTGACATCACAGCGCACCGAGATCCGAGATAACGTAGAGATTAATGCGCGCACTCGATTAATCCATTCTCGGGGATACAGCGAATCTGTTTTTCAAATGTGCATCCGTAAAAAATTTTGGTAACTTGACTAAACCTTTTAACTAAATATTATTTTGTTAATTGAACATAATAATATTTTGGAATTAAATATTAAATATAACAAAACGTGTATTTCATTTGAATATTAGTGTGTTTCAATTTACAAAATAGGAATTTAGTTGAAAGGTTTAGGCGAGTTAAATTTTTTTTTCAACCTCTAAATTACTTATAATTAGTAAGGCTGTTTTTATGATTTTTGACTCTTTCTCTTTGTACTTTTCATAATATTTTATAATTGTTTAAATGTTTATTTAACATTTTAACCCTGTTTTAAAGCTGAAGAATTAATATGAAATTTGAATAGAGTTATTATGTACGAAAGTAAGTCTTCTTATAAAATATCAAGTTTTATTTTTATTATTTTTATAAATTAAAGTTTAAATCAGTTGATAAAGACGGTTAATTAATGAATAAAGATGAAAAATTTGTCATTTTTTGTTGCAAAAAATTAGATTTATTCCATAATAGAGGAACATTTTAAAACATCTTATATGTAAGATCTACTTTAACATCTCCTCCTCCACTTCACGTCTAAAAAAAAGCGTAAAAAATTCCGACGTTTCCAAAAGCCTTATATAATTTAAAGACAGCCTCTATTGAATTTCGATCGAGAGTACGCCAATGGCACGTTTTTTTTTTCAACCGTAGCGATTTCGGGGGGCTATCGTGATTTCGCAAATCTCTTCAACACTTTGAAATTTGCGAGATAACGTTGACCGCGAAACATCAGCGCGCTCGAAAACGTCGAGTATCTCTAATGCAGGCGTTTCCCTATATTTATACTTGGAACTTACGCATCGAAATTTCCCTCGGACGAAATTGTATAAAAGAACGTGGCATATGTAGCAAGGGGGACCCTAAAGATTGCCCGCGGTATCGCCGCGAAATTCGGGAATGTCGGGAACCCGACGAATGTTCTGTATTTCCGAATACGGGGTCTCCAATTTCTCCTCTTTCTTCTCTTTTTCTCCCGGTTCCTCTCGTTTGGAAGAATCGAACGGAGAAAAACGTTTCTGCGAACGAGTCCTCTCCTCGAGGCGCCGACGTATCTTTTTCTTTTTTTTTTCGGGCTAGATATTTTTATTTTCATTCCTCTCTCGCGCTCTTTACCTTTGAAATTCACGATTAACAATTTAGATGTATCGTCCGTCGAAAAATGTCATCGCTCGGACGGAATATCCAAATAATTGGGGAAAATTGAAATCTGCAATTTTGATTTTCTTTCCTGCAAGCAGAGCATCGGTCCTGATTATATGTCCCTGTTGTCCGTCGACAAACGGTCGATGAATAATTCCGCGCTCGACCCCGCTCGTCGTTCCATATGTTCCGAGCTAGCCGCGACCGATCGACCGGAGTTTTTCCTTGAGCGAAACGACTTCGGCCTCCTTCCGCCATTGCGACGGGGGATTGAAACGTTGCGAAGGAATATAGGGGCCGTGGGAAAAGCAGTAAAACGCGCGCGCGGTAGCGCAATGCGCGCGCTCGGAACCTTTTGCTCCAAGTTCGTCGACCGCCACTCTCGGAGCACTCTCGGAGCACTCTCGACTCTGCGCGCTCGCGCGCGCGCGCGCTGCTCTTTTCGCCTCTCCCTCGTACGTCATCGGAGTAAAATCGCCAAGAGGGTTTTCGCGCGAGAAACGACAAATGTAACAACTTTGTGTCCCAAAATAATGATACTTGAAAAGTTTGTGAGCCGTCATCGCGCGAGCTCAATTTTTCTCACGTCGTGTCGGTTCTTTGCCGATAAACGGAGACTGTTGTTACGGCGTGTCGCAAACATTCTCGTTGGATCCTTTGCGCGTCGGCGACTTTGTTTACAAGTAATCTGCGAACACGGCAAATTGACGGGGCATCAATCGTTTCTCTCGCGCGCCAATAGGCAGACGTCGTCGTCGTCGTCGTCGTCGTCGTCGTCGTCGGTCGTGTTTGAGCATTTTGTTTAAAAATAAATTCTCGACGGGGATTGATTCTGCGACAGGCCGCCTGATAAAATAGACACGTGACGCAAATGAGGCGTTCGCGGGAAGGGTTCGCAATAGGTTACGGGCTTATGTGGGGTGTAAATTATTAATAATAAAAATTGATTGCCCCGAACGAGAGAGCTCGTTCCAGCCAATCTCCGCGAATGACATAATCGAATCCTCGAAATGCTAATCGAACGTCATTGCGCGATTTCCACTCCGTGCTGGCGCGCGGGATTTCATGCCTAACCATACAGAAATGCAACCAATAATGAATAATGTGAAATTTTATTTCCTTAATTATATTTAGCAAAGTGTCAAGTGAGACATCTCAAATACTATATTGAGCGCGTCGCCAAATTTAATTATGAGTTGGAAAATATTTAAATTAAGGGAATTCTATTTTTATCTCTTCTCTGTCTTAATAGTTATATACACGAAATATTATTTGAACTAACAAACATTTATGAACGTTGTTTCCGATTATAAACTCGAGAAATTCTCTTGCCGCTCCTGTTTGTATAAATTTTTATAGAGAAAACGATGTAACTGTCCGATAAAAAGTTTTCGATACTTCTTGGCGCGCAAGCAAACTCGATTAATTATTTTTATCTCATAGAGTGTTATCGATCGCGTGTAAATCGTGGAAAATTTTAAGGCGATCGCGTCAGGCAGCTAGGAAGTTGATACGTTCATTCTATATTATTATGGCTCTATAACTCGCGCGTGAAATAAATTTTTACATAGTATACTTTGTATCGATGTCGCTTCTACGTCTTTTCTGCCTTTGTCGCATGACAAAAGTTTCCGCTAATCGAGATATTTACGTCGTAAATCGTATTCAGGAATTATTATGAACGCGTTGTACATTCATACTCGAAATATAATTTTATATTTAAAAAATATTTTTATTCGACTCGTTTTACGTTTTTCCTTCCAATGTAATTTGAAATTGCCTGTAGATCGCGTCTCTGATGTTTGTCAGTGCTGTGCTTAGATGATTTTAAAATCATTTAGATAAAGATGAGATGAAAATATATAAATTCATCGTAGGTAAGATGAAGGTGATTCTGATTTTAAATATATCTAAATAAAAGATAAAATTATATAGCGATTCATCTAGATAACCTCTAGAGAATATCATGTTTAAAATAATGACTTATGTAAACACAGTTATAAAAAAAATGTAAATTATAAAACGGATACAAAAATATATTCATACTTTTACTTGTAAATTTTTATCGCTTACCGCTCAAGTTCTACCGCTTAAGTATTTTTATGCCCCATGACTAAAGCAAATTATCTGAACATTATCATTTTTTGTCTACGCAGATATAAATAATATATATATATATATATATATATATATATATATATATATATATTATTTATATCTGCATCGTAGACAAAAAATGATAATGTTCAGATAATTTATATAAATATATAAACATATATATATGTATATTTAATTTTATTTTTATAAAAATAAGATGACGTCAATATCGAATCTGTACATAATTTGATTTAGATAACGGCAAACACTGTCGACGACGGAGAGAAAGAATGAATCTCTGTGGCGATTGACACTCTGGTCTCTCGGACGCGTTAAAAACGCGCATTAAATCCTCTCGTATCGTCGCCTTCGCAAAGTTCGCCTCGAACGAATACGAGCCAAGGCTAAAGCAATATAACGGCAACGCACACCGGTGCGTCCCGATGACAGCGATGATTTGTCTCCTCCTGGTAGCCTCAAGAGTTTTCGTACGAGAGAGTCGCTGATGATCTCTGATGAGAGTCGCGTTGACCCTCTACCCGCTTATCACTTTAAATACCGCTAGAGAGTATCGTTGCTTTCGCGGGATTACGTTATTATGTACCGCTCGGATAAAGGATAATTTGCGTACGGTTGCTGCGCAAACTTGTAATTTATTACTCACAATTCTTATCGGCGCACACGCCGAGTCTTTGCATCTAGACGAG